TTAGTTTTCTGGGTGTTCCTCCTCCTCTGGTTCCTCCGCATGGTAAATGATAACGTCGACTACCTCCATGTTGGAATAGGCGTCCGCGAAGTCATCGATTGTGCCATACGTGCTCTTCCTGTCCAGAGGGTACCCCATGGGCCAGCGATCGGGGTATCTGGCGCCAGGGATACCGCAGAAAGTGCAAAAGCTTGGGGGAGGATCATTGCCACCGTCCAATGGCTGTAGCAGTTCAGAAAAAGATGCATGATTATCTATTCATTCATATTCATGTGTTTGTATACGTATGTACGTGCATGCACGCACGCGTGTGTGTGCTTATAATTTCATAAACTCATGGTTATTTTCCCGTTGATGCAAAAGAATGTTAGGTCACCTTGTCCTGGTCGGCGTCAGTGATCATCACGAAGAGCCGGAAAGCCATGCCATCTGGCTTACCTCTAGGCAGTAGGAGATTCTGGGGCCACTGGCAGCCGGGGAAGTTGGCATTGGCTGACGGGGAAGATATATTAGTACGTTGGTAAACTGATTAAAAGATTAAGACTCACTTCATGCAACTGCTCTCATATGGGTATTCAGTGATATTTACATACACAAACTCATTAGAAGGTCCAAGATGGCACCGTCTTAACTGCAGACAATAGGCAGGATTCTAGCCTGATCACGTTCCCTTCATAACGGCGATCCCCTACACGTAACCATTCATACGTACATGCATGCATACACACACACACATATATTTATACATATATATACATATATATAAACTAAAAAATACAACTCTGCACACATGGTCATTCTTAAACCAGGAAACACAACTATGTAAACATATGAATACGATACTTAGAACTTACCGTCGTTTGATGTGATACTGCTCTCACTGGAAAGCCTTGTAATGTTGGAGACGCCTGGAGCAACTGGAATGGGGGTACATGGAGAATTATGGAATCAATGGGAATCAGAATAACCTTCCAAAAAATGGTATTGATAACATGGTGGTGTTTACAGTAAAGTTAACAATTATTCGATTAAAATGTATATATATTCAAAGAGGAGACTAGTTTCGAAATCCCTCTGAATTTCACTTCGCCGAAGAGGTTGATTTATATACATATCATACGTACTTTCTATGTATTATTTTATTCCATCCATTAATAAAAAAATACTTGTTTTCATTCATAATTCGAGCAATTCATTCACAGCCTACAAATCATGACTCACTCGGATCTGCTTCGAACACGTCCATCTCCGCCCAGTATCGTAAAAGTGAGGCGTAGGTAAGCTGTTGTTCTTCTTCATCGACTTTCGGTGCCAGGAAAATGCGTACCTTGGGCTTCAAATCGACAGTCTTCGTGTTATTGACCTGTACAATATTGTCGAGAAAATTATGAGCTATTTAAACACAATTATAGGGTATGAACATGAAGTCTAAAATTCGCTCGCCCTCCCTTTCATCAAAGCACACACACACACAAACGCACAAAGGGAGAGAGAGAGAGAGGTATATAAAAATGAAAACCAACCTTGATGTGGTAGGTGAAGTCCGTATGGTTTAGGAAATCTGACGTCAAGAGCACGGAAATATTACTCTTCGGATCCACTTGGAAATCGATTCCGTGCGATGCGACAAAAGTCCTGTTTGTGAAGAAAGTGTGAAGTTCATTCGGGGTTTTGACTTCCAACACTTCCACGCCCACGGACAGCTGATCAAGAATGAGACATCTCGTTACTATGGATAGCGAATTAGGAAGCATCTTGTGAAGATTCCATGCGTAGTTCATCCAGGTTATTGTAGACAATATTTTGGTCTTTTCTGGGTCATCCTTTGAGGGGGGGGAGGGGGTGCATAGCGTGACCAAGCTCGACCTGTAGCCGACAGACACTGGGCTTACTTGTCTAGGTATCCCCAGAAAGACAAGTGAGTCTGTTGCTTAGGGAACATACACAGAAAGACCATTGTTATGGATATATGTGTGTGTACAAAACCAAAGAAATACATATATGTTTATGTACATATATATGTATGTGTATGTTTGTACACATACGTGTGTGTGTGTGTGTGTGAACTTGATCATAAAGCTCAACGCATTATGCAGCCGCTCATCTCCTTTACACATGTTTCCAGACTCACCTGGTCTGGCGTGTATGGAGGCTGCGTCATCTTGTACTTATGGAAAAACTTATCAACAAAGCCGTGCCAACGGAAAAAGACCGGATCCCTCACGGCTGTTCCTGTGGCTGCCATCACACCATTGTGCCCCTGGGAAATCATGTAATGGAACATATGCACCAATGTTTTCTTTTCTTTTTCATTCATTTCTTCAATATTCCAAATCATCCTCTTTCGTTCGTTTTCCCATGCTGACTCGGAGATTCGACTCCTCAAACTGATCCTTCACCGTCCCCTTACCATGTGTTTCTGATCTGGGTCATTGCAACCGTCAAGCAACATATGCCCCTTGTTGTGGATGCTGCCGTAGTAGAGGGGGTTCACACTCGCACCTGCCTCCATCGCTTCGCCCACGAGGTCAATGCCGTACTGTTCGCCAGGACTTGGGTCATCTGTGAGGCGAATCTGAGAGCCGTTCTCCTGTGGTGAAGAGGAATTTAGAGCAACAGTGTGTGATCTTCAATATCTAATGGAGGAAAAACTCGTATACAAATATAAATGTATATGTACATCAATATCTACATATATATGAATATCATATATATATAGGCACACACACATTTATGTATATCTATATGTATATATACATATGTATATGTGTATATATATACATATATATGTATACACATACTTTATGTAGGTATGTATGCAAGTATGTGTATATATCTATGTATATTATATACATCTGTATATATATTCATTGGTATATATGTATATATATACATATGTATATATATATATATATATATATATATATATATATATATATATATATATACACTCGCACACACACACACTCATATATAGATATATATACAACATATGAACTCGCACTAATACTCACACTAATCAAATATTTTTCGTCGACAGAGTAGAGCAGGTGAGTTCGCCACAGCTCAAGATTCGAAATGTATAAGGCATCGGTCATGCCTGTTCCAATAACATCCTGAAAGAAAAGGTGTTATGGAATTTTAGTATATTTCTCTTCTTTCTCGTTTTTCTCTCGGCCGAACAAGTCTCATAATATAAATAAAGGAACGTTATATATATATATATATATATATATATATATATATATATATATATATATATATATATATATATATATATATATATATATATATATATATATATATTTATATAACACATTTTATATATATATAACGTATCAGGAGTGTCATGGGGGGGGGGGGCAACCAAATATTAAGAGAGGCTATCTCCCCCCCCCATGACATCCCTGATACTTGTCTTCAGTGGAATTTGATATAACATCTTTTCTTTCAAAAAAAAGTGTTAAAGGCCTTTTATAAGCAAATTCCATTATAAAAGGTAGAGCAAATTATTAAAATTCCTTATTAGTTAACTTGTAAGTGATATGTAAAGGTCTCTTGTCCCTTAACGATGGCTTATCCAGTCTCAAGAAAGAGATATACTGGCAGCTCTTGTAACCATGCTGCGATTTTTTTTATAAATATATATAATAATTATATATATATATATATATATATATATATATATATATATATATATATATATATATATATATATATATATAATAAGCTGACAAGTATTACTTACGTTTATATAAGCTCACTGTTTTTAGAACATACATTGTTCTTTAAACGTTTTTCGTTTTTTTTCTTTTCCTGTTTACGTTATCTCTTCTAATAAAAAACATTTGTGTATCGGAGTAGTCCAGAGTCCGGGTGAGGTTTTACTGAACGGAGCATACGTCAGACCTAATACAACTTCACGCACCTGCATGAGAGTGTTGTCTTGCCTGTTTCCCCATTCATAGCCGTTGCCAAGGGTGAGGTGAGGGAAATAACCTTCCTGCACAGGAGCGCGCCAGTCCTCAAAGGGTTCGGCTGGTTTGAGGCCGACTCCCAGACGTTCAAAGTTGTATCTGTGGATAGGTCATTGATGTGGTTATATATATGTGTGTGTGTGTGTGTGTGTGTATCTTGAAAGTGTGGACGGAATAGTTCATAAACCAGGACAAACACACGTTTAACTACACTCTCACGTATAAATATCTTCGCATTCTTCTCCCTTCCTCCCTTTCCTCCCTTCCATTGCCGAGATTGGAACCCGTGTGCATCGAGACCCCACGCCGATAGACAGATGGAGAAATGAATAGCTAGAATCATGGACAAAAAGAAAGCAAAGAGAGGGAGAGAAAGGGAGATCTACATATCCGACCTCGCCACCAAGTTGTGATGCATGTAGTAGAAAAGCTCTCCCCGTCGGTCTCGCTTGCCGGGCTCGATGGAGAAAGGATTCGTTTTGTGCCAGTGCCAGTGGAAGCTGTTAAGGTGCAAGTCCTCGCGCCAATATGCCACTCTTTGCTCGGAGTTTCTTGTGGCGAGGCCCGTGCTGTTACGCTGCCAATATACGTGGACCGTGTCCTGCCACGGGAAAAGAAATCAGGCAGATCAGTAACTTTTAAGACATATATCCACACACACACATATATATGTATATATGTGGACACACACACATATATATAGATAGATAGATATGTAAATATATATGTTTATAAGTATTCACACAGACACAAATATATATACTGTATATATAGTATATATACTGTATATATATAGATTTATGTGTGTGTACAAGCGTTTTCTAACTAGCGTTACTTCAGGGTTTGTTTGGAGTTCATTAAGAGATAGTGATGAAGAAGCTAAAATTATTTCTTGGTATACGAGGGTATATTTATTTTTCAGGTACTTTCCAGTCTAATGACTAATGTCTAATTTACCATACATATACATGTATGGTAAATTCTTGGAAAACTGTGGAGAATAAAATATATAATAATCCCAGGAAATTGGTACAACTCAAGTGTACGTGACCAAATTGTATGCAAGTGACACTGATTGTTACTCATGTGAGGATGCAACAGAAAATCATAATTAGTTAGGACATCACCATCTTTACACATGCACACGCAATATATGTGTGTATGTGTATATGTATATATATGTATGTATGTATGTTCATATATATATGTATGTATGCATGTATATATACATATATATGTACATGTATATATATACATTTATATATATATATTAATATATATATATACGCATATATGTTTGTATGTAAGCAAGCATGCGCGCGCGCACACACACACACACACACACACACACACACACACACACACACACACACACACACACACACACACACACACATATATATATGCCTGTCTATTATCTATACATTAAATAATGAAGTGGTATGATTACCGTATCCTGGTGAATCGAAGCGGCTTTGACCAATCTCTTTGCTTTGTTGATGACATCAGTGGGAACGAACTGGTCCGTCAGTACAGTTTCCAGCCGAGGTAAATCTGCAGAACTTATGTCCTGGTGAATGAATGAGAGAAAATGAAATGTTAACCGCATATCTACAGTAATCGTCACCGTGGTGTAGATATACGCTTCTCAACAAATTTGCTCTAACGATACTTGCAAATGTTACAAGCTTTTTGTAGCGACATCCTGTGTAGAATATGAGGAGAATGTTGTAGGGAGTTGCTGATTTACTTCCTTGTCCCCTCCTGTACCAAGTAACATACGAGTGATTTTCCTAGTTTTTGCAAAGTGATATCTTGCTTTTTCTGATTTTGTTGGAGAGTAGAGCATTTTTGGTGTCTTATCCCAAGATATCATTGATGACAAAAAGTCCTCGATTTATATATATATGCATTTTCCATTATATGTACATATAAATAAATTAGTGGAAAGCAACATTGGACCATATTGAGTTTTTAATCTGTAAACAAAACATTTACATGTAATTTTTTAACACATGGCTATACACAAACATATGCACGTGCGCATATACGCACGCCCATACACAGTAATAAAAATATAAAAATCACATATTCATATACACATGCACAAACCCATACGCACATCACACACTGATGCATTTAAGGTATGGCAAAACATCATTCTCTCCACTAACCGGTCTCTCATAGACGGCACCATAGAGAGCGAATATGTACAGGGCCTCGTTGACGTGGTCTCGGACAGTGAGAGCAAGTTCTGCGAGTTCAGACTCGTCTTCCGCGTCTGTTAACAGTGATGGAGATTATAAGGTACCCCGTTCGTCATTGTTAAATCATGGATATGGATGAATGTAATAAAAGGATAATGGTGTATATATAATGATAACTTTGAATAACCAGATACGGTGTCTAGAATGGCGGTGATGGTAAAGCTGCTCCTTGTGCTGCTACAATATTGAATCCATGGCACTCTAGCAGATTACCAGCTCAGGAATCGCCTGATATTCGATGGTGAGGAGTATTTCTTGTCGGAAGTTAAAGGCACGAGGTTATTTGAAAGTCCAGAAAGTAATGGATGTGAGTATTGTCCGTTGTTTTCTTTTTCTATTCAGAACTTTTTAGATTGTTGGATAACGGACGCCTTTCCCTTATTATCAGAGATGATAAAGGTAACGCCAAAAAAGCCCTTAAGATATTAATTATGCGATCATTATTTAGGTACATGCAGACCTTGAATCACATCCCTTCATTTGATTGAACTGAAAGTGAATAAGTGATTGCACGAGAAAGATTGTGACATCAGTCTTTGAGTGCAGAGAAAAAAATATACATACTCTTGTGGCAATGATACTAAAGGTAACAATAAGGATAAGTCCGATATGCGAAGCTGAGCCTCGCATGGGTTATGCCTAAGGGGAGCCCGGCATGTGTCGACTGAAGCCGACTCGCTAACTTCTCGCGCCCGGGCGGGGCGCGAACCATCGACCCCTTGGATGAGAGGCCGACACGTTACCCGTGTATTGGCCCGAAGGCTTAAGGAAATATAATAAGGATAAGGATAAGTCCGATATGCGAAGCTGAGCCTCGCCCGGGCTAAGGGGGAGCCCGACCTGTGCCGACTAATGTCGACTCGCTAACAGTGTGTCAGCAGGTGCTGACTCGGATGAGCTTAGTCCTTACCCACCGTGGTGCCCAGGCACAGCAGTAACCCCCAGGTGACAATTGCAACTTCTCGCGCCTGGGCGGGGCGCGAACCGCCGACCCCCCGACACGTTACCACTGTACTAGCCTGGAGGCGTAAGGAAATAATCCAGGATTATGAGATATATTGTACTGTACTGCAGACAAAGAAGTTAGTGACTTGAGAATTTGAAGTTACATTAATAAGTGTTAGGAATTTGTCCCCATATTCCACAATACATACAAGTTAAGTATGCAAAATGTAATGAATATGGATTACAAACGCAAAATGAGAAATATGTTTGCATATAGTAATAAAAGGTCTTAAGTCTCTTTAAGCTTCAAC